GAGGTAGGCGCTGATTTTTTTTATTGTTTTAATTAATAATTTAAATAATAATGTAATTACTATAATGTCCTTCATTAAATTGGATCAATTGTAGCCATTGGATTTTAATGAGGTGTAGTGGCTGAGATTGACTTAGCCAAATGACTAAGGGGACCCCCCTTAGTCACCTGATCTTGGCCCCATTGGACAGTCATTTACTTCCATCCCGCGGTACCTCCTTGCCTGACCCTGCATGCAAAAACCAGGTAATAGAGCCCAAGTTGGTTACTTCCTTCCCACGTTACTTCTATTCCAATAATGCAGAGACCTTTCTATGTAAATGCACCCATTTACCATCACATAGAACCACATTTGCTATTATATATGGAATTGCAAATCTTACCGCCTTAAAAGCTCCTAGGAAGATTGTAAGAACTATGGTTCTTTGATAACTTGCAATGAACGTAATTGGATAGATAAGAAAGGGATTGACGGATTGGAAATAGAAATTGGGGATGTGAGGAGAATAACGGCTGACAAGACTCATATTGAGAGAAGAGGGATTAGAGTTTGGAATATTTTGCATAATACTTTTCTAATTACTTGTTTGATTGATGCTTACGTAAACACCAAAGTACACTTATATAGAGAAACATTGTAGAAACCTAATAAAACCCTAGGATATTCGACCTAGCCACCTAACCCCACCCAACTAATACTACTACCAATAATAAAAAGGACAATGCCTATCTTTTATCCATACCTTTTTCAGATTTTTTATATTATCCAAACCTATTCAAATACTATTAATTAGCCAAATCTTTCGTAATGCTGCAGAATACGACAAATCGCATTAGGGCTTTCAAACGGTCTGTTATCATTCCCCAAAGCACAATGACGGAAACAATGTAGAAATCGAGAATGCGGAAGAAGGAACACGAGATTTACGTGGTTTCCTTGTTCGGTGAGAACGAGACTAGTCCACGGAGAACGTGAGTTCTCGGCTGAGCTATTATGCACTCTTTTGGTTTTCTGTTGTTGAGGAAAAGCACATAAGCCTCTTCCCCTTAAGTACACGAGACCAACAACCCTAACAACATGAAACACGGGTTTGATGGTAAAATACAAAATGGACCCTAAACTTAATAATAAGTCTAGAAATCACAACACTCCCCCTCAAGCGAAGGAATGAATGTCAAGAAGGCCAAGCTTGACAAGAAGATGGGAAAACTGATCGGCACTGAGTCCCTTAGTAAAAATGTCAGCCGGTTGTTCTTGAGTAGCGATCTTGAGGGGAATAATGTCACCTGACTGGACTCTTTCCCGGACGAAGTAGCAATCCATCTCAACATGCTTGGTGCGCTCATGGAAGACCGGGTTTGCCGAGATATGGAGAGCAACTTGATTGCCACAATAAAGAGGAGTTGGCGTGGAAAGAGGAACGCCAAGGTCATGCAAAAGCCATCGAAGCCACAAGACTTCACTAATGGTGCTAGCCATAGCCCGGTATTCTACTTCGGCCGAGGATCGTGCCACCACCGATTGTTTCTTGGTGCGCCAGGAGACAGGTGATGCCCCGAGCTTAATGAAATAGCCGGTGGTAGAACGGCGAGTGAGCGGGCAGCCCGCCCAGTCAACGTCACAATATGCAGTGAGAGAGAGGTCAGTCGAGGCAGGAAGGAACAAACCTCGTCCTGGGCACGTCTTAAGGTAGCGCAACACACGATTAGCCGTATCAACGTGTGCCTGCGTAGGAGAATGAACTGCCTGACTAAATATGTTGACAACATAGGTAATGTCGGGACGCGTAACGGTAAGGTAGAGCAGTCGACCGACCAACCGACGAAAAGAAGCAGGGTCGGCGGCGGGAGAAGAGGAATCGCGGCCAAGTCGGTGATTTTGTTCAATAGGAGTCGGACTAGGGCGAGAAGCGGTGAGTCCGGATTCAGCCAATATATCCAACACGTATTTGCGCTGGTTCATAACCATCCCACGGGGAGAACGAGCAACCTCAATACCCAGAAAATATTTCAGGTTGCCGAGATCCTTGATAGTGAAGCGAGCATGGAGAAAATCCTTGACCTGCTGAATGAAAAACCATGTCGTTACCGGTCAAGATAACGTCGTCAACATAGATAAGAGCTGCAACAAAAATGGTACCACGCCTATAAGTGAAGAGAGCATGATCAGCTCGGCTCTGGACGAAGCGAAGCTCCAACAAGGCGTGGATAAATTTTTGGTACCAATTGCGGGATGCCTGACGTAAACCATAGATCGATTTACGAAGTCGACAAACACGAGTGTCACCGGGAGTCGAGAAACCTTGAGGAATGGCCATGTAGACTTCTTCTTCAAGATCCCCATGAAGAAAAGCGTTGTTTACGTCAAGCTGATGAATAAACCATCCTTTGCTGACCGCAACAGTAAGTAAACATCGAACAGTGACCAGCTTGGCGACGGGGCCAAACGTATCATGATAATCAATACCTTCGATTTGGGTAAAGCCTTTAGCAACAAGACGGGCTTTATACCGCTCGATGGTGCCATCTGCATTGAACTTGATCTTGTAAACCCATTTGCATGCGATGGCTTTCTTCCCAGGAGGAAGATGACATAAAATCCACGTGCCATTTGCCTCAAGGGCACGATATTCAACAATCATGGCCTGCCGCCAATGTTCGTGACGAACAGCCTGGTGGAAGAAACGAGGCTCATCGTGACTGGTGACAGCTGCGACGAATGCATGATGGCCTGTGAAAGTCGATCATAAGTGAGGTAGTCTTCAATCGGATAGGTGGTTGTGGTGGAGCCAGCAAAGCTAGGGAGATCAACATCAAAACCACGTAGCCGAACTGAAGGTTGGCGTTGGCGATCACCACGCCGCGGGGCAGGTGCAGCGGGGGCTGAAGGCGGCTCCGGAGAACTTGAGGAAGCTTCGGGGCTAGTCATAGTGGTCGTGAGTGAAGGAAAATGCTCATGTCCAAGTCTTGGTGAAGGAGAATGGGACGAGGCATCCTCGCTAGTAGAAGGAGAAGCTGGGCTCGGATTTCTGAAGCCGATCAACGAAAGGGGAAGTCGCCGGCGCCTGAGCTCGGAGGCTCAAAGGAGATCGCCAATCGACTCCATGGCTCCACCGCTGAGCCGGACAGCACCGGAATGATCGCAACCCCGACGAGAAGCTCAGTGACCGAGCCTTTTGTAGCTGGCTACCGAACGAGACAGAGGAAGAACGAGAAACAAACGATTCGGTTGAGGAAGCGGAAGAACGGAGAGGCTTGGAAGTGGCGGGGAACCTGCAGGAAGCGGCGAGGCGAGAGCGGAGAAGAGATGGAGAACAAGGCGCCGAAGTGGATATGTGGATGGGCATGGCTAGCTGCTGGCCGCGCCAGAGAACGGGAATCGGGTTCAGAAGCAGAAGGTTTCAGACAGTGGCGGAGCCAGGATTTGAAACTACCCCTGTCCTCTTTTCAAAATATAAATATAATTAATTAATTAATAAAATTAAAATTAATAATATCCAAATAATCCACTCATAGATAAAGAAATTACCACTAATACAATCATTGTTTTCACAAACAACCACGACGGGTTTTCATATTCTGAAAGAAATGCAAAATACATTCGTTGTCTACATGCGTAAGTAAGTCTCTTTCAATGTATCCTACTAAACAATCATTAGCAAACTGATATCCAATTCGACTTCGAAGCTTGTTCTTGATATAGCTTAAAGCTGAAAATGCTCTTTCTACACTTGCAGTTGCAACTGGAAGAGTCAAAACTAGCTTCAGAAGCAAATAAACAGACGGATATGACTCACTTTCAAAGGAAGACTCATTTTCACTTTCTTGAGATGAAGACTTACTTTGTAGTGAAGTTTGATTTATCGAAACCGATACATTTGATTGTCGAATCTCGGAAGGAACCACCACCGTTGAAGGAGGAAAAGTTTGGGCTTGTCTACTTCCACTTCCTTCAAAATCTTGGGCTGTAGTAATTGGGGAAGTCTTGTTCTTCTTTGGAAAGTAATACCTCTCCATTTGAAAGATCTAATTTGCCAAGATAAGCACACAATAAGCAAAACAATTTCAGTTCTATTTACATATCAACAAACACAACTATCATGAGTTACATCGGTGAACAACACAATATAATTTCAGGTTTCAACTTCACAGCTTACCTAGAACAAAATGGTGAAATAGAATGGAAGGATTGCTTTTGCTGGGTTGGATCGGTGATGGTCGCAGAGGATGCTGGGGAAAGTAAGAAGAAAGGCCGAAATGATTGGGGTTGCTGGGTTGGATCGGTGATGGTCGCAGAGGAGGAAAATCCCCTTTCCCCTGCCGCTGAAGAGGCCGACTGCTGGCTGCTGCTGTCTCTCTCGTCTGTCTTTCTGCTGTAAAGAAAATGAAATACGAAGAGGGTAAAGGGATGGGATTAGGTTTTTGTTTAATTGGGATTCCGTTTAAGAACGGATATATCTATATTGTTTCCATTAATAATCAAATAATTGGATGTAGCGTAGCGGTAAAGCTACGCGGTGTGAACTGAAGGTTGTGGGTTCGATACTTGTGTGGAACATATATGAGGGTATTTATGGGGGTATTTTTTTTCCAAGTCAAAAATGACCCCTGTCCTGTGACAGGGGCAAAACTGGCTGCCTCCGCCTCTGGTTTCAGAAGAACCCACTAGAAATTTCAGAGAGAATTGGAAGGAGAAGTGCGGCGGAAGTTCTTCTGAGCTGAAGACTAGTAGAGGATGGAATGGAAGTGAGGAAGGTAGTGGAAGAAGCAGGAAGAAAATGGCGGTTTTGGTTCTGCAAGAAAAAAACAAATTGCTGGCGTGGGGTTTTAAGTTCCTTGGGGTTTTGGTGATGGAGCTGTGGCCGTTGGATTGGATTACAATGCTTTTGAATCGTAAGGTTGAAAGTTCGGGAGCACAGTGCTAACTCCGAACTGGGCCGTATGCTAACGATCCCCGCTCGCCACATATTTATTCGTCGTCTTCAGTTTTTTTTCTTTCCTTCTCTTAGGTCTTAAGAAATTAGGTTTAGCTAGGATAGAAATCGAAACGCTCTCAGTTGTAGGCTGCAGCATGGAGTACGACGACGGCATCCGGTCGCAAATCGATTGGAGAATCGCCGATAAATCGCCTCCGGAATGGAGTGGAATTGACAATTTACATCAGGGGATCCAAGAGATCGAGACCCACCGAGACGATGAACCTGCCGCCGACGATCCCCAATTCGCCGACGATTTCGTCGCTCAGTTTCTCGTTGATTTCCCTCCCGATTCCTCTTCCGGCGGTGACCCAGATTTTCATCCTGATTCCTCTTCTTCTCACCGCCACGGCACCCCTGATTCCGCCAAGGACAACGACGCGGCTCTCGCAGCAGCACCCGTTGAAGTCGGAAACGCTCCTAATGATCCCGTCTTGAAGAAGCGGCAGAGGTGCGTCCTGTTACTTCCTGCCTTAATTCTCGTGCTGTTTTGCCCAAGTATGTAGAATCGAATTCGATGAGTGGGGGGGCTCTTTTGTTTCCAGGCAGCTGAGGAACAGGGATGCGGCGGTGAGATCTAGGGAGAGGAAGAAGGAGTATGTGAAGGATCTGGAGTCTAAGAGCAAGTATCTGGAATGGGAATGCAGGAGACTGGGGCGGTTGCTTCAGTGCTGCGTTGCTGAGAATCAAGCTCTGCGATTCAGTTTGCACAATGGAAGTGGTGCAGCGTTTGGTGCTGCCTCGGCCAAGCAGGAGTCTGCTGTGCTCTTGTTGGGTATGTCTTCTTCCTTCGTGTACTTCATAGTTCATACTATTGAATTCCCCAAGAGTCGAAAAGAATTAAACTTTGAACTGCTAAATACGATTTATACACGCACCTGTGCAGTAGTCAGGATCTTGTAGCGTTTCTCTACGGGCGCTCTGTTGAAGACTTTAACTTTATAGATTTGGCTAGGAGTTGATGAATGAACTTGTGAACACATCGCGCACCTGTTTGTTGCCCACTTCACCAGATGATTTGATAATACTTTGTGGGTTTTTATCTTGGTATGCAACTGCATTGGCAAAATGACATTTGGGCCGATTGTTGTTGTGTTCTGCAGAATCCCTGCTGTTGGGTTCCCTGCTTTGGTTCCTGGGCACCATTTGCCTGTTCCGTCTACCAACGACAGCGCCCCTGTCGTGGGTTCCACTGGTACAATCGGCGCCACGACAAGGGGCGACTCCAAAAAGAGGAGGAAGAAGTAAGGTGGTGTCCGTACTGCAACTTGGCGAGCCAAGAGGCAGGAGATGCAGGGCCTCACGGATAAGGATGAAAGAAGACCTTACATACTCATCTTCCTCATGTATTCTGCTTGGTTAGGTGTTTGCGCTTTCAGGAGATGTTGAAGGTTTTGTAAAGTGTAAGGAGTAAACAAGACAGAAATCTTCTGGTATTTCAACTGTAGTATCTGTCAACAGTTGAACAGTTGGTTTGTCTTAATCTATGGGGAGCTCTGGTTCGTAAGTTCAATAATTCAAGATTGGTAGTTATGGCTACAGGATTTACATGTCGCAGTGGAAGTTATGGAATTATGCTGCTTTAGAAGAAATGAAAAGAAGCTCATATCCATCAAACAGTGAGCACTGAGAGATGGCCCCCTATTGCCCTCCAAAAGCGTCATCTCATCTTTGCACCTGAAACTTGCCATAGAACTGGGCGGAAGGTTGCTCCAGATCCTGTCTCAAATCTCATCAATTCCTCTCCACTCTTCCCCTGTTGACTTGTACAGCTGTAGGCGATTACGATCCATCATTCTTTCTAGCTAGGCAGAAGGAGATTGTATTGTACCCTTTCAAACACAGAAGAGGAAAACTTGAAAAGCTCATATGCCCATTCCATTCCATTCCAATCACTCAAAAGTTAAAAAGGGGTCGAACTCACTGTACCTACAATAAAAGTTGCAATAAATCCAAGCATGTTCCCTGCTACTACTTGTTCTGATATGGGATCGATCAGCTTTGGTTATAAATGCTGATTCAGAAAATTGAGAGAGATGATAATATATACGGATCTCTGGCTTTGCTTGTGAAACAGAAAAGAATGCTTTACACGTTACAAAGCTAAGCTCCCCCCACCCACAAAGATCATCCCCCCCGTCCCTTGCTTATTCTCGACCGCCGCCATGGCTTCTCTCAACTTCAACGTTTGGGCTATCGTCACCTCTTTCTTTATCCCCTTCCACTTCAATTATTCGCAAGCATCTCCCCCACACGACCAGTACGTTATTTTCATGGATTCCAGCGCAATGCCCAGAGCCTACTCCTCTCCCTACCACTGGCACCTCGCAACTCTTTCCTCTGCTTCGAAGCTGATATACTCCTACTCCCACGTCATCGATGGGTTCTGCGCCACCCTCACTCCTTGGGAACTCAGTTCCATCAGAGATTCTCCCGGGTTCCTCCACTCCGTCGAGGACTCGCCAGTACTCAAGTACGACACCACGCACTCGGCCCAGTTCTTGGGCCTCAATGGCGGCCCGTCCGGAGCTTGGGAGGCGAACGCGGCCCAGTTCTCGGGCCCGTCCGGAGCCTGGGAGGCGTCCAGATACGGCGAGGGCATGATCATTGGCGTGGTGGACACGGGAGTGTGGCCCGAGAGCAGGAGCTACGACGACGTTGGGATGAGCCCGGCGCCAGCCAAGTGGAGAGGAAGGTGCGAGAACGGCCCCCGATTCAACGCTTCTTGTTCGTGCAACAACAAACTCATAGGCGCCCGTGTTTTCAACAAGGGGCTGATCGCTCGAAACATCACTCCGCCCTTGTACGACTCCCCTCGGGACGCCGAGGGCCACGGGACCCACACTTCGAGCACCGCCGCCGGGAGCTTCGTCCGCGGCGCGTCCTACTTCGGCTACGCTCCCGGGACGGCCAAGGGAGTGGCCCCCAAGGCACACGTGGCCATGTACAAGGCCCTGCTCGGCGATCCGCACTCTTCCCACTGCCGACGGGGTCGATGTGCTTTCACTCTCTTTCGGCTTCGACAACGTGTCCATCCACCAGGACCCCGTCGCGCTGGCCACGTTCGCCGCCGCGGAGAGAAATGTGTTCGTCGCCGCCTCTGCCGGGAACGCTGGCGCGGGTCCCAAGTCGCTCCACAACGGGATCCCGTGGGTGCTAACCGTTGCCGGGGTTAATTGCATAGGGTGCCACTTAAGTTTAGTATTTGTTGCACGATAACCACCTAAATACGTTTTGTTGCAACTAAACCATTTACGTCAAATTCCAATAGCACCGTTATCATTTTCGTCTCCATAACTAGCTGTAGGTGTCAAAATGTAAAAAGCCATGCCACTTGGGCTGCCACATCAGCTTAGTCAAAGATCCAACTCTTTCCTTCAGCGATCGATAGCCATCTTTCTTTTCTCTGATCTTTAGATTTCAAGAGAGATCCAAATGAAACAAGTAAAATCAAAGATCCAACTGCGACACAGGTTAGCAGAGTTCTGACATCTTTACTCATTCCCGATTCACGACGGCAGCGTTTGAACCCGTAGACCGTTTCGCTGCAGAGTTCTGGGTTTTCGTCGAAGCTGCCGTTGTAAGCGTCGAGCGACAGGGACAGAGGGATACCGCCGGTTAATCTGTTATTGGAAAGATCGAGGAGGCTGAGTTTCAGCGAAGACAGGGTACCCTGAATTCTGCCGGAGAGTTGGTTATATGAGATGTTTAGAGCGTTGAGAGATGGTAGAGATCCCAACGAGGACGGAATCTCGCCGGAGAGGGAATTGCTGGCGATGTTTATATAGCTGATAGAATTACATAGGCCTATAGATTTGGGAATTGCCCGCTCAACTTATTGTTTTGCATTTGAAGGTTGCTCAGAAGCTTCAAACCTCCGATGCTCTCTGGAATTTTGCCCAAAAACTGATTATCGTTCAACGAGATGGCAACCAACGACGTCGCCTGAGAAATCTCCTCGAGGATTTCCCCCGAGAGACTGTTGTTGTTGACGAGCAACTGTCCGAGTGATTTCGCCTTCTCGATGTCAGCCGTTAATCCGCCTTCGAACTTGTTATCCGTAAATAACCATCACGCGCAGCACAATCATCTACAGATTTCATCATGCGCTACATCGCCCAAATCTCATCCCAATCACACTTAAGATATGATACGCTATAAATGATCAAATTGTGTAATTAAGATATCAGATCCTATTTTATATCTCCATGTATACTCCTTTGTACGTGCGTGTGTATATACCTGTGAAACTTAATGCAAAGGCAGGCTATTCAATCCAAAACCTTCTTTCTTGTAACTGAACTGATTGTCCTTGATGTCTATTATAATGTTCAGGTTGGGCAATCTCTAAATCCTGGTGGAAATCTCGCCGAAGAGCAAGTTCTTGCTCACTCTGAATCTCAACAGAGTCGTGCAACTGGCGTAACTCGCTGGGAAGGATTCCGCCGGTGAAGTTGTTCCGGAGCATCAGAAGTCCTCTCGTCACCCCTTCCTTGCACAAATCCGAAAATAGAGCCCAGTTTCTCCGACAAATGACCCCTCAGCTGGTTCTCGTACAACAAAAGGTTGACCGGCTTGGTGAACCCCCGATTTCCGGCGGGACAACGTAGGAGAGCTCGTTCTAGAACAACTGGAGAGTTACAAGAATGGTCAAGTACCTGGTCGTCGACAAATCGCCTTGGAGATGATTCCTCGACGCATCAAAATTCTCTATTATGGCTGTGGGGAGAGAAGATTGGTTTATTTATTGGATTTAAATAGGGTTGGGCTAGATATGAGTCAGCATACTATAGCTGATGTGGCGGCCCAAGTGACATGGCTATTTACATTTTGGCACCTACAGTTAGTCATAAGGATGGAAATGGTAACGGTGCTACCAAAATTTGACGTAAATGGTTTAGTTGCAACAAAACATACTTAGGTGGTTATCATACAACAAATACTAAACTTAAGTGACAACCTATGCAATTAACCCACCGTTGCCGCCGGGACAATGGACCGCCAATTTCAGGGGCGGGTCGAACTCGGTAACGGATCGGTCTCTGTTTCGGGGTCTTCTCTGCACCCTCGAAGCAACGCAGCTACTCCAGCTGCGCCCGTAATCTACATCGCTGATTGCGCCGAAGCAACCCGTGAACTGGTCCGAGGGAAGATCTTATTCTGCCGCCAAGGACGACGACTTAGCGATCCACTTTTCAGCCTCAAGGATTCCAAGGCCGTCGGTGGTGTGTTCATAATCAACGACACTACTTCCTCATCGTGGCTGGAATTCCTCTTGAAGATTTCCTTCCGGGAGCCGGCAATATTCGTCACGCCGGGGGAGGGGCAGAAGCTGGGGAAGTACGTGAAGAGCCACCCGGAGGCAAGATTGAGATTCGGGATCACAAGTTTCGACTTGAGACCAGCACCGACAGTGACAACGTTTAGCTCCAGAGGCCCATCGCCCAGCTTTCCATCCGTGATGAAGCCGGACATCATGGGGCCGGGCTCGTTCATCCTGGCGGCCTGGCCCAATTCCAACAACGCGGCGGCGGATCACAGGAGCGATTTCAATCTGCTGTCGGGGACCTCGATGTCGTGTCCACACCTAGCTGGAGTTGCGGCGCTAATCAAGAAGGCCCATCCGGATTGGAGCCCAGCTGCGGTCCGGTCCGCGATGATGACAACCGCGGATACAGTGGACCTCTCCGGCCGGCCCATTCAGGATGCAAGCCCAAAGAAGGGTCCAGCGACGGGATTCGCCATGGGCGCCGGGCAGGTCAACCCCAGCAAGGCACTCAATCCCGGTTTGGTGTACGACCTCAACTCAGCCGACTATGTGAGGCTTCTCTGTGCCATGAACTTGACCGCCGCTCAAATCCGAGCCATCACGAGGTCCGTCGTCGACAACAGTTGCTCCTCTTCTTCCTTGGACCTCAACTACCCTTCCTTCGTCGCGTTTTTCAGCCGTTCTAGTGAAGTTCTGGAGCTTCGGAGGACATTGACCAATGTAGGCCAGGAGATGGCGACCTACAGTGCTGCCGTCACACCAATGGATGGTCTACAAGTCAGGGTGGTGCCACAACATCTGGTGTTCAAAGGTAATGGGGACAAGTTGAGCTTTAAGCTTGTGATTCAAAGTGTAATTCTCAAGAAGAAGAAGAAGAAGTTCCAGAAGTCCGGCTACCTCAAGTGGGTTGAAGATGGAGGAGGCAAGCATATTGTCCAGAGTCCAATTGTGGCGACTAACATCCACAGCTACTGAAGAAAGGTACTTGCATGTTGAAGATGGAACAAGACGTGAGAAAGAACTTATTATTAGGACCAATATTAGTGCTTTGGACAAATGCAATATTATTTAGCTGTGGCTTGATTTCTTTTCGTCTAATGTACGTACTTGAGCTAAAGCTTGTGTGAGTGAGAGACGACAAAGCCATTTGGTTGGAATTATATTAACAAGCTTCCTCCGCATATTGAATTATACAAACTCAAATGGTAATTTTGTATAATTTTCTAAACAGAATTGCATGAAAGCTTACGAGAAACTGAGCGACGAAATCGTCGGCGAATTGGGGATCGATCTCTTGGATCCCCTGATGTAAATTGTCAATTCCACTCCATTCGAGAGCGCGATTCATCGGCGATTCTCCAATCGATTTGCGACCGGATGCCGTCGTCGTACTCCATGCTGCAGCCTACAATCGATTTCTATCCTAGCTAAACCTAACTTCTTTAAGACCTAAGAGACCGAAAGAAAAAACTGAAGACGACGACGACGAAGAAATATGTGGCGAGCGGGGATCGTTAGCATACGGCCCAGTTCAGAGTTAGCATTGTGCTCCCGAACTTTCAACCCTACGATTCAAAAGCATTGTAATCCAATCCAACGGCCACAGCTCCATCGCCAAAACCCCAAAGCAACTTAAAACCCCACGCCAGCAATTTGTTTTTTTCTTGCAGAACCAAAACCGCCATTTTCTTCCTGCTTCTTCCACTACCTTCCTCAATCCTCACTTCCATTCCATTTCTTAGCTCAGAACAGAAGAACCTCCCACACACTTCTCCTTCCAATTCTCTCTCTCAAATTTCTTGTGGGTTCTTCTGAAACCTTCTGCTTCTGAACCCGATTCCCGTTCTCTGGCGCGGCCAGCAGCTAGCCATGCCCATCCACATATCCACTTCGGCGCCTTGTTCTCCATCTCTTCTCCGCTCACGCCTCGCCGCTTCCTGCAGGTTCCCCGCCACTTCCAAGCCTCTCCGTTCTGCCGCTTCCTCCACCGAATCGTTTGTTTCTCGTTCTTCGTCTCTCTCGTTCAGCAGCCAGCTACAAAAGGCTCGGTCACTGAGCTTCTCGTCAGGGTTGCGCTCATTCCGGTGCTGTCCCTCTCAGCGGTGGAGCCATGGAGTCGATTGGAGATCGCCTTTGAGCCTCCGAGCTCAGGCGCCGGCGACTTCCCCTGTCGTTGATCGGCTTCAGAAGTCCGTTTCCACTATGGGTATGTCACTTTCCTGCTTCCTTGTTTCCGTCGGGAATGATAACAGGCCGTTTGAAAGCCCTAATGCGATTTTTCGTATTCTGCAGCTTCTGAGAATCCTTTTAAGGGTATATTGACTTCCCTTCCGAAGGCTGGGGGTGGAGAGTTCGGAAAATTCTACAGCTTACCTGCTCTGAATGATCCGAGAATTGGTATGTGGCAATGAGCTTCTGCGTTATTGTTTCCGTTACTTCCTTGCTGTTGAAGCTTTGTTTTAGCCAGATTGTTCTTGATACTTGATTGGGAAGCTAATGGTGCTTTTGTTTTTGACATTGCAGACAGGCTTCCATACTCTATCAGAATTCTTCTGGAATCTGCAATTCGGAACTGTGATGAATTCCAAGTTACTAAAGAGGATGTTGAGAAGATTATTGATTGGGAGAATACATCGCCTAAGAATGTCGAAATCCCGTTTAAACCTGCTCGAGTGCTGCTACAGGTTTAGTCCCATGAACTCAGCGGTTCACCAGCTATTCCAACTAAAGAAACGGTAAAGTGGTTTATATTCTAGATATGTGATTCGCTCCTAATGCTTGTTTTTGCATTAACCAGGATTTCACTGGAGTGCCAGCTGTGGTTGACCTGGCATGCATGAGGGATGCTATGAAACATCTTGGCAGTGATCCTAAAAAGATCAATCCATTGGTCTGTAATCTTTCTGCCTTTTGGTTGAACACATTTTTACTGGAATCAAGTTACTGTTATGTGACTGTCATAAACTATCGACGCTAGAGACTTGGTGAGTCCATAGACTGCTAATGTGGTCATACTTGCTGTACAGGTTCCGGTGGACCTTGTAGTTGATCATTCTGTTCAGGTTGATGTTGCGCGGACTGAGAATGCTGTGCAAACAAACATGGAACATGAGTTTAGGAGAAATAGGGAGAGATTTGCTTTCCTCAAATGGGGCGCATCTGCTTTTCAGAACATGCTTGTTGTTCCTCCTGGTTCTGGAATTGTTCACCAGGTAAGGCAACGGATTAGTTGTCAGGGGCATTGAGGCTTAAGCATAACTTGTATATAATAAGTTGTCATTGAGTTCCAATAGATTCTTGTAGAATCCAATGTTTGCTCCAAACCTCTGCTCTAGTGGTGGATGCAACATATGTCTTCACTTTATTTTTCTTTCATCCCTCCTCCTTAAGTCTTCTGTCTTCTTATATGTTTGCTCTTTATTGACTCTGAAGGTTAATTTGGAATACCTTGGACGTGTAGTCTTTAACACTGAAGGACTTCTGTACCCTGATAGTGTTGTTGGGACAGACTCACATACGACTATGATTGATGGTTTAGGAGTTGCTGGCTGGGGAGTTGGAGGAATCGAAGCAGAAGCAACAATGCTTGGGCAGGTAGTTTCCTTTGTGTGTAAATGTACATGTTGAGGACTTCCTTTTAGAATTTTGTCCGGAAGTGCCTTGTGAGTCCATTTGTGCAACCTAAAACATGCCATATTCAAACACTCGCGTTCTGTATTGTGCAATATATATGGACCATATAGTGTATCTTGGGTATCCCTGTTTGACCATATTTCATTTTCACCAGCCTTGTAATCCTTTACTTCCCATTTTAGTTTGCAAATGGCCTCCACACTTTCTTCGCCCAATCGACACATGAATAAGTTACCAACCGAATGCTAAAATGATCTATCTTTTGGAACTTGAATCACTTGGTCATAGTCACCCCGGCTACCCCTTTGTTCTCCAAGACAGTTCGCACTTTTCTTGCTATGCAGATTTGTATATGCTTCGGTTTTATCTTTGGTTCACTCTGCTTCTTCTGCTGCTTTCTTGAACTAAACAGCCCATGAGTATGGTGCTCCCTGGTGTTGTTGGTTTCAAATTGTCTGGTGAATTACGTGATGGAGTCACAGCAACTGACTTGGTTTTGACGGTGACTCAAATGCTGAGGAAGCATGGTGTTGTTGGGAAGTTTGTGGAGTTCTATGGTAATGACAATGTAATCAAATACACAAGTTAATTTCTATCACGAGATTTTTTAAATTCAATCAAATTAATTTGCACATTGCCACAGGTGATGGCATGAGTAGACTATCATTGGCTGATAGGGCTACAATTGCAAATATGTCTCCTGAGTATGGAGCAACAATGGGTTTCTTCCCTGTTGATCATGTCACACTAGAATATCTGAAACTGACTGGAAGAAGTGATGACACGGTAAGATTTCTTCACTTGGTCAGATTTTCTGCTTTGCTTGGAGTTATTGTAGTGAGTGATTTTCTTTTGCTTTGCAATTTAGGTGGCTATGATAGAACAATACCTGCGCGCCAACAATATGTTTGTTGACTACAATGAGGTGAAGTACTTGATCTATCCATTCTGAGAAATCAAATATGACCTTTGTATATCAAGTATATGAACTGGATGAACTATTCGTATCAAACAGCCTGCACAAGAGAGGTCGTACTCATCATACCTGCAATTGGACCTTGCAGAAGTTGAGCCTTGTGTTTCAGGACCAAAGAGGTATGTTGTGCTGCTTGTGTTCCTGCTTATCCTGTTCCAATGGTATATTTTTTCACATGATTAAGGACTACTTTCCGTGAATGTGACAGACCTCATGACCGTGTACCTTTGAAAGATATGAAGGTTGACTGGCGGGCATGTCTTGGCAACCCTGTTGGGTTCAAGGTGGAGTTGATCCTTCTTCAATATTATTTACTTTACGTTCTCCAGTTCTTGTCACGAGTCTTGGTTGTTTGGAGTTGGATTTCGTATTATTAAGCATCCTGAGTCAGTTGATTACCATTGCTGAGTGGGAACCTGGTTCTAAGATTGATAATCCATTACTGTTTCTGTCACTCCTGGCTTTTTTAGTCTTGTTGGTCATTGATTTTTTTTTCCCATACAGGGATTTGGTATACCTGATGAAGAACATTATAAAGTGGCGAAGTTCTCATTTCATGGACAACCTGCTGAACTTGCACATGGAAGTATTGTCATTGCAGCTATCACAAGTTGTACAAACACATCAAACCCTAGTGTTATGCTTGGAGCTGGTCTTGTCGCGAAGAAAGCTTGTGAACTTGGGTTACAGGTTACCTTGAATTTGAGCCTACCAAATATGCGGTGTGACCTAAACATTTGTTTTTTCAGGAAATGACCATTTGCTAACTCTGATTTTCTAGGTTAAGCCATGGATTAAAACTAGTCTTGCTCCAGGGTCTGGAGTAGTCACAAAATATTTGCAGAGAAGGTATGAAACTAATCTACAATTGTGTTTAATTTCCTTTGGATCCTTTTTAGCCTTTTAATGAATGATTCTGGGATTTGGTGTGTGCAGTGGATTGCAGAAATACTTGGATGAGCAAGGCTTTCAGCATGTTGGCTATGGTTGCACCACTTGTATTGGAAATTCTGGAGAGCTTGATGATTCAGTAGCTTCTGCCATTTCAAACAATGGTATGGCTTCTTATCTTTTGAGTAACATTTTCTTCTGATGGTTGGACTTCTCTAATAGATTCTCTTGTTCAGTTTTGCTGGCAGTCCTTCCCGGACTCATGCATTTTTTCATTTTTGTCTTGCCTATACGGTGTTTCTCTGAAACTATGTTTGTGTCCTTCTGCAGACATCATAGCTGCAGCTGTGCTCTCTGGGAATCGTAATTTTGAAGGGCGGATTCATCCATTGACAAGAGCTAATTATCTAGCTTCTCCTCCACTAGTTGTTGCCTATGCCCTCGCAGGCACGGTATGGAAGTTCCAGCAGGCTATGCCACATAGTGATTAATTTCCAAATATTGACTGCACCATCTCAAGTTATAATTTTGAATAATGTTATCCGTGTTGTCGATTGTCCAATTTCAGGTTGACATCGACTTTGAGAAGGAGCCGATCGGAACAGGGAAGGGTGGCAAAGATGTGTTCTTCAGGGACATCTGGCCTAGTAATGAAGAAATTGCAGAGGTAGTTGTTTTGCAAGATTTTTATATAGTAATGAGATTATGCTAGATCAAAATGTCCAAGAATAAGCATCTGACACCTTAATCATCCCAGGTTGTGCAATCCAGTGTGCTACCAGATATGTTCAGGAGCACTTATGAAGCCATCACAAACGGCAACCCCATGTGGAATCAGCTCAGCATCCCTGCTTCAATTCTTTACTCTTGGGATCCAAAGTCTACATACATTCACGAGCCACCATACTTCAAGGATATGACCATGGAACCACCTGGTCCTCATGGAGTGAAGAATGCTTATTGCTTGCTCAAGTTTGGTGACAGTGTAACTACCGATCACATCTCTCCTGCAGGCAGTATCCACAAAGAAAGCCCTGCTGCTCGGTTCCTTAGAGAGCGTGGTGTAGATCCAAAGGACTTCAATTCTTATGGCAGCCGTCGTGGCAATGATGAAGTAATGGCAAGGGGAACCTTCGCGAATATTCGCCTTGTGAACAGGCTCGTGAATGAAGTAGGGCCGATGACAGTTCACATTCCAACTGGAGAGAAGCTTCATGTGTTCGATGTAGCGATGGTGAGTTATTATTATAAAAGCATGAAAGCTTTCATTTTGTTTTTGGGTCCGTTCTTAAACTTGCTGTTGAATTACAGAGGTATATGGAAGCTGGGGAGGAGACCGTAGTGATAGCTGGCGCAGAATATGGAAGTGGTAGCTCTCGGGATTGGGCTGCTAAGGGTCCAAAGCTGCTGGTAAGTTAACATATCATCGTCAAGTTCCGCCTGCTGTGTCAGCCTTGAGTTAAACCTTTCGGCCTTTGTTGTTCAGGGAGTGAAAGCAGTAATTGCCAAGAGTTTTGAAAGAATTCACAGGAGCAATCTGGTTGGCATGGGGATAATCCCCCTGTGTTTCAAGCCTGGTGAGGATGCAGACACGTTAGGACTGACTGGTCGTGAACGCTACACCATTGACCTTCCAAATAAGATCAGTGAACTGAAGCCTGGGCAGGATGTTACCGTTACAACAGATAGCGGCAAATCTTTCACTTGCACAGCTCGCTTTGACACAGAGGTACGATGACTCGGATAACCCAGCAGATACCCTTTCGAAGTCTTTGCAAAATGTACATTGTGACTAACAGAAGAATCAACTGATAACTGTGCAGGTAGAATTGGCCTACTTTGATCATGGAGGGATCCTGCCTTATGTCCTAAGAAACTTGGTCGACAGTAAACAATAATATGAACATAGCAACTTCCAGCGGTTATTCCACTTTACATACACCTAAACAGAACTACTGGTACCACACGCCAAGATGGGAAAGAGTGCTTTTCCAGAGACAATCGAGTGCTTTTCGTTTTAAGTGCGTGCTCATCGTTGTGCATATTCAATAGTTTCAGTCGGCCTGTTTTCTGAATCCCATTCCTGGAGTTCCAGCAAGGACACAGACAAACTGTAATATGTAACAATGTATGAACTTAAGCATTTTGAGTGGAAATGGTTCAGTCGCAAAGTTATTTCACTGTTTAGATCTCTCAAATCTGAAAAGAGCTGTGATATCTGAGTCTAATACATTTGTGAGCTTGTTCAAATAATGAGTGCTGCAAATCTTCTCAACTCACAGGCTGACTGCCAAAAGGCCCGAAACATAACCTTTCTTGGTCAAAGTCTGGTATACTACAGAAATATGTACGTATGTTACACCTTCCAAACCAAAAATACAACAGTGCGAGGCTGGCCGAAGTTTGTGTAGAAGGTTGTTTGCTTTTTGGTTTAACCATGGAATGATTTGGTAGCTCTGGAGGCCAGAGCTATAGCCTTGGCATTCGTGCTACTCATCAACATCTCCCTCTCAGCACGACGCTGACGTTGCCTGGCGTTCTTTGCTCGCTTAGGGGCCAACCTCGTGTCTCTATCAAGAAATGCAAGCCTGAATCTTTCCGCCATCGACAGCTCTATCCCGGGAGTGCCTGAAATGCATGGCGAAATAGACCTTGGCGCGAATCCACCTACAGCCCATGTGGTGGGACTAATATCCTTCACAATTGAATCGTCCAACGCAGTATCTGAGTGTGCTTCAATGGGGACATCAAATCCGCGGAAACCTAAAGGCGAGGGCTTGGGATTGACTATGATACGTGGGCATTCGGTGGCTAGCGTTTCTTGTGAGTCGTTATCAATCATTGGCTGTAGAACAGAACAGGAGAAATGGAACTTCAGTTAAGCAAAAGATAGATAAGCAGTGCAGCCACTCCATCCTATTTCAGGCACTAGCAAAGGTGAATGCTCCCAAAGCTAGGCGAAACTGACACTGTAATGACGGATGAAAATTAAATAGGTACATAGTGAGTAACTCCCTACCCAAAGAAGCCACCGAAGGGATTCAGCACCATGAGCAATTTCTGCAGCATCCAGTTCCTCCCAGGAATCTCCCTCCAGGTCAATTAGCTCTGGCTTCAGTATACCCAAACTACGACGTGCAGTGTAATTGCTCCTTGGGCATCCTCTGCAACATTAACTTTGGTTCAATCCTGTTATAGTTTGTATTAACCTAGTCAAAAACCTCAACCCCTAACTAGCTTAAGTGTGTAACAATGCAGGAAGAAAATATATGACAATCAACCACACGGAAAGCCCATTTGAACAGCAAACCAATAGGGTATTATCTAGGGCTGGATTCTCAGTGTACAATGAACTTTAAAGGAGCATGAACAGTCAATGTCACTTATTCATCGGGTTTAAGGAAGAGAAGAAAACATACCCCCATCTCAATGTGTTCAACAACTTGCAGTGTTGTACTAGTTCAGAGACACCAGCAGGGGTAATCTGAAAACACCGGCTGCAAAATGAAAGAGTTATATAAACCACATACATAAGGGAAACCATCAATGAAGTGATGAACCATACAGAATGTGAAGACCATCAACAAATAGAAAGAAGATGCATGCTAGCCACCAATGTGATGATTTTGTAACCTAGTGCAGCAATGTCAACTTGCCCATTTCTCAATAAGTACACAACAGAAGCTTTAGCCTACCACAAACCTTATATCTACAGCCCTGATTCGACTGCATATTTTGGAAACTTCAGCCAAACAGGTATCAGTAACATCTGACCCGGAAATGTCAAGAATTTCCCAGGAACTGTCGACTAAAGAAAGGATCAGATCATCATTCAACAATTTCCGCCTCCGGGCAATCGCTACAATCGCAAGCTGCAATGAGAAAGATCTTAAACTCATATTCCAGCCCAAAACTGACGATAATTTGTTGAATTGTGAACGTGGCTAGCTTTAACCTAGCAATCAAGTAACCCAGTGCAAGACACCATACCATACCTTAATGTGAGCGGGAAATCCCACAGAAATCTCCCTCAATTCTCCAATTACATCCTCCAGGTGCCTGCCTAGAACTCCAACGCACAAGCTCACCAAGCTTGGAGGCCTTCCCTTCTCCCTACGAAATCCTGTGAAGGCAATCATTCGAGGAAGCAGCATATAACTAGTGATTCCAATTGAAAGTTCTGAATTTGGCGGCTGTGAAGTTCTCCAATTCAATAGCAGGTATATGCTGGTGAGAAGAGAACTTACTGGAGGATTGAAGGGTTGAAATGGAACGAGAGGAATTGGGATTGGAAGCGGTCGAGCTCAAATCAAGCTTCTTCAACGACGCTGATACGGTTTCCTCCGTAGGTTTACGTTTTTCCATCAAAGCTTCCCTCAGAGCGAAGAAGAAGAAGAAGAAGAAGGCGGAAACTGGTAGGGAAGCTCCGGTGGAGAATTTGGAATGCCGGCGTCAGAATGTGGGATCCTTTCTGCTTAAGATTGAAATAAAAAAAGATAAAAATATAATAATCTTGCGGTTGAATGTGCGTAACATCAAAGTTAAGGGACTACTTTGGAATTTACCGTCGAACTTAGTATCTTGAGAAGGGTATTGATGTAATTTTGAAGTGGTCGTTAACTCAAATTTAATCCCCAGAGTTTTGAATTTCCTACTCGCTCGCAGTCGCAGCAGAGGCGGCGACGGCTGGCCGGAGCTTCCAGTGACACGAAGGCAAAGCGTTTAGGGTTCCGATCCAATGGTGAAGGCGCTGCAAGGAGGAGTGGGGAGCCAGAATCTGCCGGCGGATGTGGCTCAGGTGATCGATCAGTTGGAGCGCCACTGCTTGGCTCCCGATGGATCTCTCGTCTCCAAATCCGCCTACTATGACCTTCAACTCGTACTTCTCTCTTCCCCGTCGTTTTCTTCAGTCTTAGGAGGGAAAGAAAAAGAGAGACCGTTTTCAGATTGAGAATCCGATGATAGTTGGTTCCGTGTCGTGCAATTTGTGGAAATTCTGGTAGATTTGGATAGTGAATGGTGTCAATTGTTGGCAGGCGAGAGAAGAGATGGCGAGAGAAAGATTGCGTTACTTGGAATCTATGGTATGGTACATTTTGCTCCTTCGCCTTTCTATTGATTGAGTTCAGAAAATTGGGAGATTTCGATTTGCCGCCACATATCGATAATTTGATGGAGTGTTCTTCTCTCATAAGCTTTTACTGCTTGATTCTGTTGCTCTTGGTGGGAAATCAGGCAATTTACTGCGAAGCATCTGCTATGGTGGAAGAGTATCAGCAGGCTGTGTCCAGCCTTGGTTTTGGAGGCATTCGAGACGTCCTATATCCACAGCTTAGCTTGAAGAGCCATTCCCAGGTTCTCATATTTAGAGTTTTCCTGTTTTATTTCTGAATTGGAATGCCTCACTTTAAGGATCATTCCATATTCTTATATCGGATTATAGTTCTCGATTGCTTGTTTACATTTCCTAAGACATAGTTTCAGAGAATACGAGGTAGGATCTTTAGCATAAATTAACATCTGTTCTATACATCATAGGTTTATGAGACACTAGAACATCGATTGGTTGTTGCAGAAGCAGCTCAGAAACTAAGGCTTCCTCTTATATCAAAAGATGGTGAGGTTCATGAGGAAGAAATTGAAAAATGGAGTGTGATGTCACGAAGCTCCCTAGACAGTACCGGTACCAGTGCCACAATCAGCTCAAGCTCTAATTCACTTTATTATCCAAATAGTACCACAAACAGCGCAGGTGCAATGGGCAGTGGCTTTTCTCCAAGTGTTGGTGATGCATTGGATCCTGGAGTTGGTGGCTTAGCCAATCAGTATCTTGGCATCACCCCAGCTTATCTATGGCAAACTCAGCTCCAACAAATGCCATTAATGATGGTAAGTTATTGTGGACTATGCGAAATTTGAGAAAGAGAGTCTTACCTCTGGAATTGAATGATAGATTCTGATTACCTTTATGTACACTTTTCATTGTTGGAAAATTTGAACTCTTCAGGACATGACTGAATTCCAGATGTCTTTGTCCTGTGAGATTGAGACCCGTTTGAAGGACAAATGTGATAAGTTAGCTGATGCTTTTGTTGATGATATTGGTACGTATCGAGATTACAATTCCTAATCTCTTCTCCCCCTTCTCTATACTGTCTTGCTCAGGTTTCAGTACTCCCCAAAGATCTGTTTTTGGTCATCATTCATGTATCTTTTGTCACATCTGGTCAGTTATGTTAACTGCATTAGTGAGGGATGTTATAGGAATCGTCCCTTAGTGTAATGCAACTCGTATTCCCTTTATCCAATTAGGTGTATGCATGTGTGTGTGTGTGTGTGTGTGTGTGTGTGTGTGTGTGTGTGTGTGTGTGTGTGTGTGTGTGTGTGTGTGTGTGTGTGTGTGCAAACTCATATCCCCTTCAATTTATTTTTCCGGGTGCAGATTCTGCATCTGCTGTTCAAAATTCAACAGCCTGGCTTCCAGAGAGGTTTGAATCACTCTGTTGCCGTTAGTATCCTGAGTTGTTTCTTTTCTAAGTTTTGGGGCACTGGATGACCTGTTTAAAGGAGCACAACTGGCTTGGAGCCATGAACTGCTGCAAGCTTCTAGTGTGTTTCATTTGAACACGACATCATGATATGGTACACGCTTTAACTGTGATATTTTACTGTCAACAGGGTGAAGTTGATAACTGAGGAAATTGAAAGGGAAGAAGGAGCTCTGAGGGAGGACCTCTATTCCGTTGATAGAAAATTTGCTGAATATTACAATGTACGTCTGCATTTGCTCAGATAATCTTTTTCTGAGATCCATGTTCTCTTTGGTTATGGATGCAGTAATCTATGCACTAATATTGCTCTAATTGCTGCTTGTTTTCTTGTTGCCTTTGTACCTAAGATGTTAACTTATCTAGTGATTTTTTCTTGTGAAGGTCTTAGAGCAGATCCTTGGGGTGCTCATTAATCTTGTCAAAGATTTGAAGTTGCAACACCAACACAAATATGTAAGCACTGATCTATTCATAACTTTCATGAAATGTCTTCACTGAGATACGGTTTGAAGTTCAATTAAAATAAAAGACAGTTTGACCTCTGTTTCTGTAACAAAAACCTATTATCTGCCTATTTGGTTTGATTTCTATGAACTCTTATTGTTGTACAGGATGAACTACAAACAACTTGGTTGTGCAAGAGGTGTGAGACAATGGACGCAAAGCTAAGGTTTGTTGACACTTTTTCCATTTATTATGGCCTCTTACAACAGAGAAGGTGACGAATGTGCTTTAGCTGTTAGAAGACATAAAACTCGATCAAATCAGATTTTGTTTTTCTTTGCCGTAATACGCTTTTAGAGATGTTAGACTTCCTAGTATTGATAGGATGTGCAATCCCTTGTTTAACTCCTTGAGATGCGTGATAACTACAGGGTTCTGGAGCATGTTCTACTACTGGAGACTTACACTCAGGAGTCAATACCAGCGCTCCACAAAATAAGGTGTTTGGCATTGACCTCTGTGATTCTTCAAGATACATGCATGAAGTGACTTGGTAGATTTCATCTCATTAAGCATATCAAACCCCTTTGCTCTTGTTTCAGGAAATATCTTATCGAGGCTACCGAGGAGGCTTCCCTTGCATATAATAAAGCGGTTAGTCTCATTACCACTGTCCTTGCCCAGCAGTGGAAGTCATGCAGAACTTTGCATCATTTTGCTTGCCTTCTTTACCTGTAGCCTGCACAATTTTCAGGTTTCCCTGAACCATTTGCTTCTGGTTCCTAAAACCCAATCTAATATGAATTTCAACCTCTTTGTTTTCCAGGCCACACGCCTTCACGAGTACCTGGGCGTCGACCCCCAATTTGACACGATTGCAAGACAATACCAGGAGATAGTCAGGGTAAAAATGCTAACCATTCTCCCATGCAAATAAACCATCATTCCTTCAAAGCCGGAGAATTCTAACGCGGTAACTGTGTGTGCTGTAGAAATTGGAGAATTTGCAATGGACAATCCATGAAGTTGAGAAGGACGTGAAGCAGAGCAAGTAGATCCGCCATCGCTCCTGTGCTCGTGCTGTGTTGTTATTGTGCAGTTCTTGGTTGTCTCAATACTCAATGGTGTTGTTCCCGCAACAGCTCTTGCTGTCTCCACTTCAGTTTATTTTTGGTCTTCTTCTTGTGTTTGAACTTTGAACTTTGGTGTTTGTATATAGTAAAACGCGTGGAGAACTGGAGAGTTCTTTTTTGTAGGCTATAACTGGAGAGTTCAGAGTTGCCCGTCCTGGCATATTTCGCCTCGTATTGAAGGATTGTGAAACCATAGTACTATATCGAAGATTATACAGAAAAAAAGTAATGATAAGGTAGTTTTTATTAAATCGTGATTTAACGGTGGTTTAACCATTCATTCATAGAGGGTGGATACTAAGGCCGTGTTTAGTCACTTAACTAAGATTAGGAAGATTCATCTCTATATAGAGGACTTTTGTCCAATAGTCAACTAGGTTAATTTTTAGACCTAAAAACATTACAAATATGGTGGACAAAAATATAAAAACTTACAAACATTACAAAAGAAACCGAGAAACATTACAAAATAACAAAGCTTACAAACATTACAAAAAAATAAATTCAACAAACCGTACAAAATACCACTACTTACAGGACAAATTGGTACACTTGTATAACAAACCAATAAATACAAAGTATACAAATCATAACATACAAAGTATACAAAATAGACAAACAAACATTACAAATTACAATATATACAAAATAATCATATAAACATTACAAACATAATATATAAAAAATGACAAACCATACAAAGCGAAATTGATCACAAATCTATCATTGATGGCCGAAAAATCTCTCTCTCTCTCTCTGAAAGGGACATCGGCGGGTAGGAAAGGGCCGTCGGGGAAATTCTGGAAGAAGATCCCTGACCGCCGGAGGGGAAATATCTCGCCGAAAGCACAAGGTAGCGGGCTAGCATCCAACCTAAACTTTTTATTTATTGTTTTAATAAATAAATTAAATAATAATACAATTACTATATTGCCCTTCATTAAATTAGATTAATTGAAGACATTGAATTTTAATAACGTGAAAGGACTGAGTTTCACTTAACCACACTCTTAATCACCTCATCTTAGTCCTCCGTCCAGATTCCATTCGCCAACCGTCAACACCAGGATCTCCAACCGTCAACGTGCGAGCGAGCAAGAAAGGGCAATATAGTAATTCGCTATTCCAACTGAATTTTTTTCAGAATCCATATAGGATTTATCCAGCCCGCTGGCCGTAACCCGAACTCCACCGACTCTCGTTGTCTCCCTCTATATAAACAGTCCCTTCCTCCTCCTCCTCCTCATAACCGCATCTTTCAAGACAAACAAGCTTTCCTTCAAACGTTCGCAGTTCTTCCACCAGGTGAGTCGCTCTTCCCAAATCGCTCCCTCTCTTTCTTTTTATATTAGCGATCGATTTCTCGTCCCTTCGTCTTTGATCGTCGGTTCTTTGATCAATTTGGAGCCTTGAATTTTCGTTCTATGTCGTAAATTTGGCATATGTTCTTTTCTCTCTCTGATTCTTCGCTGCTTTAATGGCGGATGATCGCGCTGTGTAGAGATATAACAAATTGTTAGATAGCGATCGTTGTTGATCATCATCGTTAGCATAGTGAATCCGATTCAGATTTTCCTTCCGATCAGTTGTGGAATTCGTTTTGCTGATCAACTGTTTGATGAAAAGCCGCAGAGAGCAATTTTCTGCTTTCAATTTCATGTTTAGCATCCTCCCTGCCTGCTGACAAACGGGTTTCCACTTGATTGTCCAGCAGAACGAAACAAAGTTCTCAACCCCCAGCGAAGTACATACATGGTTGAACTAGACTTGCAGATCCCGGCTGCCATCGACCCGTTCGCCGAGGCCCAAGACTCTGCAGGAACGAAGGCGAAGGTGCACATCAGGGTGCAGCAGAGGAATGGGAAGAAGTGCCTGACCACGGTGCAGGGGCTGCCGGATGACTTCAGCTACGAGAAGATACTCAAGGACGTGAAGAAGGATTTCTGCTGCAACGGCAACGTGGTGGACGACAAGGAGCTGGGGAAGGTGATCCAGCTCCAGGGCGACCAGCGCAAGAACGTCCAGGCCTTCCTGGTCCGTTCCAACCTCGCCGCCAAGGACCAGATCCAGGTCCATGGTTTCTAGGCCACGCTACTGCTGTACGTCCGGGCTTCCGCCTTGCTATTGAACTTGGTCTGTGATGGTTGAATAACAGCCTTGTGCTGCTCGATCGTGTTCCGCTTTTTGGTTTGTTTTGGGTTTCTCCCCGATGAGGGTGATGACATATGAATGTTGTGTTTTCTCAAGTTGCGCTGATAATGGTAGAACTGGTGTTGTTTCCGGATCCTTTTTTGCCTCTAGCTTGCTTCTTTAACGTTAAGCATCCTGTTAGGGTTTGTGTGACCTATGCTCAATGCATGCTCATTCTTCCATCTTGAAGTACTAAAGCGGGCTTTCTTTAACGTTAAGCATTTTTTTAGGGTTTGTGATCTATGTTAAATGCATGTTCATTCTTCGATCTTGAAGTACGAGAGCGCGGGCTTTCTTTAACGTTAAGCGTTCCTTTAGGGTTTGTTATCCACCAACCACTGTCCTTCAATTTGTGGTTAGTATAATCTTAACTTTGTGGACGTAATGTGGAAAATGTAACCCAACCAGAACCAATTTTCACTACTAACTTAACTGTGACATGATTGTTGGTGTTGTGCATATGACAGAAGGGGGGAAGTTAAGATAGAAACGAGGAAGGTTCTTCGATTTTTAGTAGTGTATCAAGTCGTGCTATCTTACACGAGAATCCTTAAGAGCTTGCAATAATTAGGGTTTTTAGTAATGTACCAAGTAACGGTGAAGGGATTGATGATCACAATGCAGCTTTTGGGGTTTTCTTCGTGATTCAGATACTCTCCACATTTGGTTAACTCATGATAAAAGTAAATGAAATTTCATGCCACTAAATCATTAGAGTATGTTTGCTTAATCAAAAGCAATATCATTAGTGAACATAAAATAAAGGGCAATGTCTATTTTTTACCCAAACCTTTTTCAGATTCTTTTATTTTAACCAAACCTATTGAATTCCTAAAAATTATCCAAACGTTAATTCTCCGTCAACTTTTCTGTTAGTAATGCTGGCTAAGTATGACCATAATGAGTTGATTTCCTACGTGGCAGTCAGAATACCATCATTTACTATTTTTAATAAAAAGATTATCAAAAAACAAAACAAAATCCCACCTCTCACGTGGACAAAATAAGTAACGGTAACAGAATGAATGCCCATACTTTGATAAATTATAATACGTTTGGATAATAAATAGAATTTCTATAGGTTTGGTTAAAATAAAAGAATCTGAAAAAGATTTGGGTAAAAAATAGACATTGCCCTAAAATAAAAGAGTTATCGGAATATAGAAATTGTTTGTCAAGAATCAGGTTTATATTATCTTGTAATTGGAAGCAGAACTACCAAAAATCTGTTTCTAAACTTCTTGGTCCTAAAATTCAATCCCAATAGAAATCAAGTTTGTATAATGAGTCAATTGCCAAGATCAGGGATTCATCAAAGTCCACTAGAAGAAGAAAACTCAAATAATAATATATATTCCAAAAGTTGTGGGTTGAACCACATGTCTCTACTTCAGCCCAGAAATGCACATGTATCTACTAAACTAGTCCAGTGTGCGTCCCATCTTCAACGGGAACTTCAATGAACGGTTTCCATAACCAACTGGAAATAATGCAACCAACCAGATTATGTTAGTTTCTCATAAACTGCAACCAAAACAACCAGAAAAATGTAGGTCGGGTTGGGCAATGCCAGAAACCGTAACCAAACCGGTCAATGACCATTCATTCTTTGCGTTTCACACTGTCAACCACCAGAAAAAAGAACCGATTCCCCCCACTTCGCCACCCCACACGTTTTCTCATCCTTGTACGCAAACCAGCCAGGCCCAGCTCAGCTCGCAACGAGAAAACCTAAACAGGAAAACCACCCATCTCGCCACGTGTCCCAGACAGCTGTGATCCAATCGCTGACCTGATTTGGCCTGGACTGGCGGGTGATTTATATATTTGTTGAGTGGACCCCACAATCTTGCCGCCTTTTCCCCCTCTGTTTCCCTTCCCACAAGGCACTGAATAACACGAGAAAAAAAACAGAGTAGAAGAAGAAGAAGAAGAAAAAACAAGGAAGCTTCTTCCCGCGCTTTCCTGCCGTGACCGTGAATGAATTTCAGTGCAAACAAGTAGTAATTATCATCCTAATCCTGATATTAATCTTGAAAATAGTAAGATATTAGCTGGGAAATCAGCAAGAGTTTGATCCAAACACCAATTTTACAAACGGAGTCCAAACTTTTGAGAGTTGACCAACTCCGTCTCCTCGATCGGTTGCTTTCTCTCCTCTTCACATCACAGTTTCACACTCCTTCCTTGCTTCCTTGCTTCCCCCATAAAAAGCAAAAACCCCTAAATTAAAAAGCAACGAAATCCCCCCCACCCCACTTCGCTTCCATTATATATCTCCGCCACAATAAGAAACTGTTTCTTTAATCGATCCGCCTGCAAACTTGCTTGATTGATCTCAAAGCTGTCGTCTTTATCGTCTCCCACCTCTTCCCCCTTCAATTCCTCTTCTGGGTCGCTCTCTCTTTTACTCCTTCTTCCCTTAGCTTCCTCCAATTTTTTTCCTAATTATCTAATCTATTTTTTTTTTGGAGTTTCTTGTTTCCTTGGTTTCCTTTCTGTCTTTACTCTTACCTCACCTCTGAATCTTTGTTTCTCTGATCAAAACCCACCTTCCCCCAAATTCAATTCAATTCAAACCCTGACGCCATCTTTTTCTTCTCCGCCTCTGATCCAGAATTTTGATAACCTATCAGCAGCTCTGGGTTTTAGATGGGTCACTGCGTAAGCAAAGGCGGCAGAGGCGGCGAGGCTTTCCGCTACAACCCTAATGAGAATCATAATAATCAGAATCACTACCATCCCAAATCTCGAGACCTGCCTCCTACTGATTACAACAATTATGCGTCCAAGCCTCCTCCGGCTACCGCCGGAGACTCTGCCGGCGGCTATGCGATCCCTCCGCAGTCCCCTCTCCGGACCCCGAAGAAGCCGGGTTTCCTCGCTCCACCGAGCCCGAAGCCGGCACGGCGAGCCGACACGATCCTCGGGAAGGCCTACGAGGACGTCAAGCTCCACTACACGATCGGGAAAGAACTGGGTCGGGGCCAATTCGGGGTTACTTACCTCTGCATCGAGAATTCGACGGGGAAGCAGTACGCCTGCAAGTCGATTTCCAAGAGGAAGCTGGTGACGAAGAATGATAAGGAGGATATGAAGAGGGAGATTCAGATAATGCAGCATCTCAGCGGGCAGCCCAATATTGTTGAATTCAAGGGCGCGTACGAGGATAAGCAGACGGTTCATCTGGTGATGGAGCTGTGTGCCGGCGGGGAGCTGTTCGATCGGATTATTGCCAAGGGACATTACAGTGAGAAGGAGGCGGCTGGGATTTGCAGGTCGATTGTGAATGTGGTGCATATTTGCCATTTCATGGGTGTGATGCATAGGGATCTTAAGCCTGAGAATTTCCTGCTGTCTAGTAAAGATAACAATACTGCGCTTCTCAAGGCTACTGATTTCGGCCTCTCCGTGTTCATTGAAGAAGGTAAGATATTTGCCTTGATAGCTGTCCTTTCCTGGGTCAGTCTTTATGATCTTTCCTTTTTTGAATTCCAGGTGCTGTATGTTGTGAGGTTTTTCAGTAATAAATATTTTCCTTTTTTGGGTTCTGAAAAAGGTTGCTAAAAATAGTTGAATGGATGGTTTCATATAGGCAGATAAAAAAAACAATCGATGTATATGATGATAGGATGGGATATGAGATTGCCAGGTGCTTCTGGGTTTCAAAGGCTTAACTCAGTGTGCACATCAAGAAACAGTGCAGGGTTTTGACAAATGCACAATGTTTGCTTCCTTTCCTTGGGAAGTTGCAAGTTTTGTAGCACTCCAGTATTGGTCATGAAAACTGTTGACATTCCGTGCATGTATGATTAATTGATCTAGTCGGAAGTAGCATTGCAGCTGATGAAACCTGTTTACAATGTGCAGGGAAAGTGTATCGGGATATAGTTGGGAGCGCGTATTATGTTGCTCCTGAAGTATTGAGGCGAAGATATGGCAAGGAAACAGATGTATGGAGTGCTGGGGTTATACTCTATATCTTGCTCAGTGGTGTGCCTCCATTTTGGGCAGGTAAAATGATGAGTTCTTTACATATATCTGCTTGTTTGTGTTTATGATAGTGAACTTGCCTCTTCTCTCTTTTCGCTTCTAATTAGGTGGAGGAGGAACCTGGTTTTGAGTTGAGTTGTTGACTTACTGAATTCTTGTGCTTCAATTTGACAATTGTGTTCAGAGAATGAGAAAGGCATATTTGACGCCATATTGCAAGGTGACATTGATTTCGAAAGTCACCCCTGGCCGGTTATCTCAAGTGGTGCAAAAGACCTGGTTCAGAAAATGCTAACCCAGGATCCTAAGAGACGAATTACTGCTGCTCAAGTACTTGGTATGGATTTTTCTTTCTCTCCGAGGGTTTTTTCCGCTTTTGTAATTGTGAATGTTGGGATTAACCAACAGTTGTTTTGGATTTCTGTTTGCTGATACAGATCATCCCTGGCTTAAGGAAGGTGGAGAAGCTTCAGATAAGCCAATAGACAGTGCAGTTCTTTCGAGGATGAAGCAATTCAGAGCAATGAACAAGCTCAAGAAACTGGCCTTGAAGGTATAGGCTAAAAGATATTTGCCAAAGAAGAAGCTCAAGAAATCATGTGGGTCCAGTTTATGATACTGCTTAAAACTCTTCTACAGGTCATCGCTGAAAATCTTTCCAAAGAAGAAATCCAAGGTCTGAAGTCAATGTTTGCCAATATTGATACTGACAATAGTGGCACGATCACCTATGAAGAACTGAAGTCAGGGTTGGCTCGCCTTGGATCGAAGCTCACAGAAGTAGAAGTGAAGCAGCTCATGGAGGCTGTAAGAAAATTCACCATCTAAAACTGTATCTGTAACTTCTTTAGGTGATAATGTGCTCATGGATAGCTAACTTAGACTCGGTTCTGAAATTTCAGGCTGACGTCGATGGAAACGGGACGATTGATTACATTGAATTCATCACGGCTACCATGCACAGACATAGATTAGAAAGAGATGAACATCTTTTCAAAGCCTTCCAATATTTCGACAAGGACAGCAGTGGGTACGTCTCTGGTGCTGAAAATTATTTGACATTGTGCCTCTGAAGAATCTTGAATTGAGAGCAGAACCTAATGAATTTATCATATGTGTTTGCAGATTTATCACTAAAGATGAGCTGGAGATGGCCATGAAGGACTATGGTATAGCTGATGATGCAACTATCAGAGAAATCATAGCTGAAGTAGACACCGATAATGTAAGTTGATCTCTGTTTCAAGAGCACTTCTCCTTACTCCGTACCTCGAATAGTTACACTAACGCTGAAAGGACTATCGGTGTAATTTGCAGGACGGTAGAATCAATTATGAAGAGTTCTGTGCTATGATGAGAAGTGGGACACCTAATCAGGCCAAGCTTTTCTGAATCCACCACGCGGGTGGCTGCCTGATCATTCTCCAGCGCCATGGGAATATCTCCCCACCAAAATGGATATCAGGGCAGAGGAAAGTTTCATCCTCATTCAGGAACCTGAATGAATGCATATGACCGTTGAAACAGCTGAAAGCATAGAACTTGAGACACAGCTCCTCCCTCCTTTGATAGATTTGTGGTGCTTTCGATCTGGGTTGTTTTGAGAAGCAAGAATCATCAGCAATGTGAATATATAAGTCGGATTTTTAAAAAGAAATCTGTTGTTTCAGCAGATTTACGTTTGACAAGAAAACAAGCAGGAAGAGGATTATAAGTGATTCGTTTTCTCGCTATTTGCAAGTGTAAATGTGAAATGAGCACCTTGTTGCACTTGGTTCTCCTTCTCAGCGGGCCTGTATACTGCTGCAACTTGTCTCACTAACTGGGAATTTTGGTTATCAATGCCACTACATGCTGCAGAGTGTGCACAGTTCTTCTTTTTTCGCTCTTTGGAATCGGCAAATGCCCTCCGGCGTTTGCAGACATGAATAACTAATATGTACCTTTCGAATTTTAAACGATGCCTTCATCGATTGTATCAATGTCCTACATGACAAATGAGAACGACCTAATGTGTTCGATGTTCGTTCTTAACCTTCACAACCAGAAGCATAACCATGATGCCATCACCTTTTGTTAGCTTCTTTTACAAGTTACGATGGAAAGAGATGGACAGAGCAATCATAGAATCAACAGATGTCTGTAACAAAATAACGAAGCAGCAGAAGTACGTCAGCAGATAAAGGGAACAACATCAGTATCAGAGCTTCAATGGTTGATTTCTCCACAAGAATAATCCGACCGCTCCAATCTGTTTCATCAAGAGCCCTAATTGCAGCATTCCGCAGCCAACAAAATGTCATTCAGCAAATATACTTATCGTCATTCATTAGCCTAAATTATCACAACCACTTAGTAGCTGCTAGAGAACCCAAACACTTTGCATAGCAAGAAAGCAAACATGGAACCAGAACCCATCATTCACATAAACTATCAGATCTTCCCTGCAGTCTTCATGCCCTCGAGTTCACGAAATCAATCGAAGTGCTTAAGCTTTACAGTCTTCAAGTGTTTGGACTTGGCAGAAATTTCTGGAGCTTTTTCTTCCATCAGCTTCATTCAAATACTCCGACAAATCCCCTCCCCAACATGTTGTCTATAACGATATGATATCACTGTCTTTGCGACAAACTCCCCAGCAGCTATGGAATCTGGACCACTTCGTTGGGCGTGAATTGTTAGCCCTATCCAACAGCTCCCATCGCCCATGCTCCAATCTCTTTTGCGTCTTCAGCCTTTCGTCTATCGTAAAATATCTTGACCACTTCAATCTCTCAATCCCCGTAACTTCTGTCAACTGATTGCATCCAGTAATTGTCAACTCACGCAAGTGCTCCAATGCAAACAGATCAGGCAGCTTCTTAATCGAAGCGCAATCAGTAATCCTCAATGCTTGCAATGACTCCAATTTATCGAGCCCTATCACCTCAGTCAACTGATTGCATCCAGTAATCTTCAAGTTCCGTAAGTGCTCCAAAGCTGATAGATCAGGCAGCCTCTCAATCGAAGTGCATTCAGTAAGCTCCAATAATTCCAATGACTTCAATCGCTCAATCCCCACAACTTCTGGCAACTGATTGCATCTGATAATTGTCAACGCCCACAAGTGCTCCAAAGCAGATAGATCGGGCAGCTTCTTAATCAATGCGCAATCAGTAATCGTTGATTCTCGCAATGACTCCAATTTACCAAGCCCTATCACCTCAGTCAACTGATTGCATCCCGTAATTTTCAACTCCCGCAAGTGCTCCAAAGCAGATAGATCAGGCAGCTTCTCAATCAAAGTGCAATCAGTAATCTCCAATAATTGCAATGACTTCAATCGCTCAATCCCCACAACTTCTGGCAACTGATTGCATCCTCTTATTGTCAACTCTCGCAAGAGCTTCAAAGTAGATAGATCAGGGAGCTTCTTAATCGACACGCAATTAGTAATCGTCAATTCTTGCAACGACTCCAATTTGTCAACCCCCATCACCTCAGTCAACTGATTGCATCCCGTGATTTTCAACTCCCGCAAATGCTCCAAAGCAGATACATCAGGCAGCTCCTCAATGGAAGAGCAATCACGAATCTTCATTACTTGCAATGACTCCAATTTGTCAATCCCCATCAACCCAGTCAACTTACGACACTCAATGATCCGTAGAGTGGATAGTTCCGCCAGGTCGCTAAGCCCATGAATTTCAGAGAGGAGTGGACAACGAAAGATCTTGAGCGTCTGTAACTTGGTCAAATTTGACAAGCTGGGCAGTTTTCTCAGTACATCACAACGATACACACGCAGTTCCTTCAGAAGCTTTAGATGTTGGAGGCCATCAAGATCAATTAGATTTGAAGCATCCTGTAAGTCGAAGTTCTCCAGCATTCTCAGCTCTCCCAGACCAGCGATCTCATGTACCCCAATCTCCGACAAATCCAAGTACGTCAAGTTACTCTGATTCACAAGGTTTGGTAGTCTCTCTAAAGGCACAAATTGATAACCTGAGATCGATAGGGTATTTAGAGATGAAGGAAGGGTAGGCGAGGATAAAATAAGGGTTCTCGTACGACGTCGTAGAGAACAATGATTCTGGTCGTTGAGATCAACTGATTCTTGGTGAAGAACAAAGGCATTCTTCCTGCACTCAACCTGCCACAACTCCAAATCCTTCAACTTGGACAGCTTCCACATGTCCCCAGGAATCAAAAGCGCACGACTCCAATGTAGCCACTCCAAGTCCTTGAGCTCCAAAAGATTGGGAACCCTAGGTGATGAGAGGGATAGCCCTTTTAAACTCGTGGGGAGTTTTGGTACTTCAATGTCAAGCCTGTCTAGCACCAAGATCTTGAGGGAGGAAAGTTTACCAATGCTAGTAGGAATTTCTCTCAAACGCGAATATCCTACATTGATCTCTTGCAGATTTTGAAGCCTTCCAAAGCCACCTATTAACTTCGTTATCTTCGTCCTGGCAATGTTTAGCACTCTCAGACCCTTCAAATCGCCAATGTGAAGTTCCCCGCCCATGTTCCCGCAACCCAGGAAATTTATCCGTTGGAGACTTGGACATCCGAACAAATTCGGGACTTCTGTCACTTGGTCGCAGAACGATACATCTATAGCTTTCAGCCTGTGTGCCGCCTGGATCATGACAATACGCCAATGGCAAAACATGTTATAAGGATAATTGTTAAACTAGATGCGATGTTAACATAGATTTATACTCCTAAAAAATGTTATAACGTATGAATGTGAGATTTTATATTGTAGATGGTTAGAAATGGATCATCTCATTATTCGTTAATGATAGAAGTATTAAAGAACCGAAAATCTCTCATCGAAATCTCCAATGTCAGATTCAATGTCCAAAATATATCATTTTGACCAATTCCCACCCATGGCCATCTGATATCACAAAGACATAAATTTAATCTTCATAAACATGAAATGAAGTAGGAATGGTAATAACCTTGATTTTATCCCAGCATCTCCAGTCATCTCGTACAGGGCAGAATCTCAGATCAAGAACTGCCAATTTCGTTATATTGATATTGATAGGGATTGAACGGCAATAATGAAGCCGCAACCAACGTAGATTCGGAAGAATATTCTTGAAATCTCCAGTCAGCCTTCCAGAGTGCATTCGAGATATCTCAACTTTGACAAGTTCTGAAATTCCTTCTCCATGAGTTCAAAATCCTCATAACGCATGTCAACTTTAAGAACTTCCACCAGGTCGGCTCCCTGCTAAAATGAAATCATACACACAAAATTTTTATATCCTATCTTGAGCAATCAAAATAATATAGGAAAAGGGAAATGAGGTGGGAGAATACCATAAGGAACAACCAATAATCTTACGAATTTGAACATCAAGAACTTAATAATATACAAAATGTAAAGTAATATTGTCCCTGTATAGTTAAGAACAACTTTGTAGCATGCATGTATAGAAACATTCGTTGCCAGAAATTTACAAAACATTGTGGTTCATAACCTAAAAGTGACATTTTCAAAAAATTTGCTATCGAATTCTTGTATGCACCAGAAACAAAAATGGAGTACTGGAAACGTAATACCTCTCCATTGATTAACATATCTACAGCATCCTCGTTGGACCATATTCTTGTGCGCTTCCAAGGATGTTGTTCATCTTCTTCACGAACTATCATTCTCCCAATGTCTCGTACATGGTCATGCATCCAAAACTTGTTATCCACGTCCACCTTTAACAAGGACCTCAAAATAAGAGTACTAATTCCACTTTCCGGATTAAAATTACAATCACTCCACATATAGAAAGGCAATTCCTTATTTTCTCCTATAAAAACACAAGAAATGTCGAGAAAAATTTGTTTTTCACTACCACTCAACTCATCATAGCTTATTTTCAATCTCTCTTGCACCTTGGTGGGAGGAATTCTCTTTAGTTCTATCAACTTCGCCTCCCAGAATTTTCTATCTCTACGAAACAAAAGAGACCCTATAACTTCAAGAGCCAAAGGAAGTCCCCCAGCAACTTTTACAAACTCTTCGCACAAAGTAGCCTTGTCTTCTAGGGGGTTATCCATTCTAAAAGCATGTCTTCGGAGTAGTTGAAGGGAGTGGTCATGACTCATCCCACTAGGTTCATACAACTTAGATACTTGAAGCAACTCCAACACCCTTTTATCTCTTGTTGTGATGATAAATCTACTTTCAGGAGAAAATTTTCTTACTTCGCCTAAGATTTGCCCAAACTCAAACCGATCATCCACATTATCAAGAACAATGAGAACCTTGCGGGGGCATACTCTATTTGTTATAATGTGGATTCCTTGACTAGCATCTCTAACCATGTGATCATCTCTTAGAATGCTAGAAATAATCTTACTTTGCAGAGTTGTAACACCGTCATTCTTCAACGATAGTGTTTCTCGTACATCTTCTAGAAAACAATGATGCTTGAATTGTGTGAAGACCTTGTTATAGACGGCTTTGGCAATAGTGGTCTTACCGATACCGCCCATACCATGAATGCCAACGACATTGATGCCGCCTTCAAAATCTGATTTTAGCAACTCCATCACATGGTTTACGTGAGAATCGATTCCAATCAGCTCATTCGTCAATAATGTGTAATTCCCCTTTATGTGTGACCACACCTCAGAGAACACGCTTTCTGCCACTGCTCCCTGTCTAGAAATTAAACAAGTAGTTTGTAAGGCATCCGCAGATACACGGGTGATTTCACATGTAGTCTCCAACATCAACCAAACACATCCAGCCAAGTTCATGAACTGTAAACACAGAGAAGCTACATTACCTATCTGATTCGGTTACACGCCACCCAGTCATTTGCCCGACCTCCTCGAGTGCATCCTTCCAGACCCTAATGGTGTCTTCACCATATTTTAATCTATGTTGTTCCAATGCTTCCTCGTAGGAACCCTTACAATGTCGCACATCTCTAGGCTCCATCAAATAGAAAACGGGCAATATGATGTGACTACCTTCATCTTGCTTGTATCGTTCCACCATCAGAGCTAGCTCCTGGAGGCACCATTTGCTAGATGCATAACCTGGGGAAAGGATCGGGATGTATATTCTGGACTCCCCGATTGCCTTGACGAGAGAAAGGGAAATCATCTCCCCCTTGCGAAGCTCCTCATCGTCAAGAAAGGTCCGTATCTTGGGACGATCCAGGAGTCTATAGAGGAAATCTGCGAAAGTCGTGCGCACGTCAGGACCTCTGAAGCTCAAGAAAACCTCATACTCCACCACTGGAAGAGGATGCGGGGAACAGGATGACGAAGCGATAGCATTCGACCCGGTTAGCTCCATCCTCTTCTACAGATGAAACAAGCAACAAAATTAGGTCACGAAACTAGACCAGATCATATACAACTCTAGAAAACACACAGCCAGAAAACCAGACAACATCTGTTCCGTTCTTTTCCAGCCAATGCACACAAGTAAAAAGTTTATGTTACCAACAAAACCCTCAACAGACTGGCAACACAAACCACCACAGTGAAATTTAAGATCTGGGGTCTTACCTAAACGCAATCCAGAGAACCAATTCAGAATCTTCAGGAATTGATTACAAGCACTCGACTTTCGGCTATGGGGGAATGAGCAAGGGACTGGGGAATGAAGGAGGAGATCCGAGGCTTGTGCATATGCTTACTAACCAGTTTGTAGTAAACCCTTTAACAAGACGCGTCTATCGGATAGAGTCGCTATGTTAAAGTAATCGCATCCACTCATTTCCCTTTTACTCTTCCCGCTCCATTAATCTTCCAATCACTCGTCAAATCGGCCGCCGATGGCCGGAGCAGTATCGCAGTTCCTCTTCAGTTCATCTCCACCTCGCCGTAATCACCATCCTCTCTCTCCCGCCAACCGCTCGCTCCCGCGCTACAGTGATTGGCGCCGGTAGCAACTACACTACAGCATGTCAGCAACACGGAAGCAAACGAAGCTCTTCGACGGGTACCACATAGGTAAACTCTGGGGTCGCCGACCTTCACATAAGGTGAAACTCGAATGCAAATCAAACGGTTCATAATTGGTATCAAACGGGTTAACATTCTTTTTTTTTTTACCTTTATTTGAGCTAGATGTCTCATTTGTTAGTATTCTGACTATTTTATTTTCGACGACTCTTTTATTTGTTTCACTTATGTTGGCTCTTTACATCTATTTTGTTGTTGTATCTTAAATTCCGACAATGGCTCAATGAAATAACCTTCCATAGTGAAGATGTGCTGGTCCGATTTGATTAAGCCGCAAATAATGCGCAAGGATATTCGATTGATTTCGTTGGCTTCTCAGGTGATGAAACTATCTCATTTACTTTTGGTAAAAAAAATTATTACCTTTGGTAAATTTCATTATGGCATTACTTATATTTTTATAACTAAACTACTTGTTCCTCGTGATACTATGATATAGTGTCTTATGTATATATAATATTTTTATTACTTGTGCAGAGATTCTTAACCGACATTAGGGATGCTGCATCGAGGATGTTTTCGCATTCCAAGGGAAGTTCATTTTCTCTCTTCTCGCCCTTGTGTCAGTTGTGTGCCATTTTGCTCCTCGGAGCTTTTTCAGAGTTGCTCAATTCGTGACAAAAAAGGCTCTTTCACCGGGAATCCAGTTGCACATGGATACCGTTCTTTAGTATTGTCGGTGATATATATTTGTTGTTCGGTCATACTCTGGGGCTTATATTCGATAAAATAAAAATAAAATAAAATCCTATAAACTTGAGCCGTGGATGGATATTAACGAGGGAGAGAACATACGAGGAATTTTACTATGCTACATAGTATTGGTACTATACGTTTTTGTCGGCTTAATTGCAAGTTTGGTCACTCGAATTGCTTAAAAATTTCACGTTTGCCACCCGAATTGATTTATTCCATTTATAGTCACTCGAATTGGTTGAACAGTCCAAGTACGGTCACTCTCCGTTAACCTCCGTTAACCTCCGTTAATGACGACCATTAAATGCTGACGTGACTAACAGAAAGACACAGTCAGCACATTTAAACATTAAAAAAAGACAACCCGACCCGACCCGCCAGCTCACCCTTACCCGCCCAGTCAGCCATTCTTGCCCAAACCCACGAACCAGACCCAATTAACTGACCCTAAACCAAACTAGTGACCCAACCCCCCTGAAAACTAAATCGCAGACCCAATTAGGGCAGTTCCCTTCCTCTCCATCTTCATCCTCCCGGCCGCCTCTCTACTTTGCCCACCAGCGAAAATAGCCGTCGAAGGGATGGAGGCCGCCGCCGCCGCCGCGCCGCCGCCCTGAATCCCTCACCCCTCCCGCGTCTTTTCTTCCTCCGCCGCGACCCTTCTTCGCCCGCTGCTGTTTTCCCCCTTTTGCAACCCGCGCGAAACCCTAAATCGAAGCCGCCGCCGCCCTGAATCCCTCCCTCCCGCATCTGTTGTTCCTCCGCCGCGACTCTCCTTCTTCGCGTGGTGCTGTTTTCCCCATATTGCAACCCGCGCGAAACCGTAAATCGAACGCCGCCGCCCTAAATCGACGAAGGAGACAGAAGAAGGTTGACGAAGGTTGACGAAGGAGACAGAAGAAGCTTTCTCTCCTGTTTTAAAGGCAACGCTCACCTGCTTCCCCTCTTCTCTCCTCTTCTCTATTCTTCGCTTTTATAACCCGACGAGTAATGGAAGAGTTGTCGCTGTCCTGGGGCAAGGGGAATCTTTTGGGGCTGGAACTTTACCTTTCTTTATACTGATGGTGGAGTTTTTGTCAGTTTTTCCAGCTCAGCCTTCACCATGGTGGGTCATGTGCGTGCACCAAATGCGCCCCAACCAAAATATGGTGAGTCAACTATCCATGAAACAGCTCGCCTTTATTGCAGTAAAAGACATCAGTTTGTTGTCTTTTTCGAATTGATTAATAGGGAGTGTGTGGAATAGCAAAACCAGCAGCATGTGTGAAGTGGTTCAGATGTCATTTTCATGGCTTTTAATACTAGTTGTTGGGTTAAAGAAGTTAGACTTTAGCATCTGCCCTTTACTGCTTTGTCATTTTAATTACTCATTCTCTCTTTCGTTGTTTGCAACAGGTACTTCTAGTGGAGAGTTCACGTTTGAAGTGCACTTATCAGAGTCATTGCAGAAGAAGGGTGGCAAGCATTTTCTGGATGAGAAGTCTACAGTCTACTGGGACTATGCAGATATCGACGAGTTATCAACGCTTGATCTGCCTGACATATACAAGGCATGTGGAGGGAAGCTTGACAAGCCGAAGTTCTTCTGGAGCACTCCTTCAACTGATGCTATGTCAGAGATCACGTCAGATGAAGATATACTCGCCATGTCAACAAGTGCAAATGAAGAGGCGAGGGTCATCGAACTATATGCCATCTCTGAGGAAGACATTGCTGAGATCATGGACAGTGATGATGACGAAGATGGAGGTGCCACCAAGGGTAAAAAGGGTAAAGAAGTTGTTGGTCGTGATTCGGATGATGATGATAGTGACTATGAGGCTAGTGAAGATGAGGATTTTAGCAGAGCTGACAATCTGCAGTTTGAAAGAAGAGTGGCTGCAGATGTAGAAGCTGATTTCTACTCCGAAGAAGACGAAATTGAGAAGTGCAAGAAGACTATCATAGAGGCAGAAGAGGGTTCAGATGTCGACTCAGACGATCGAAGGACAATTTGTAGCTCGGATGAAGATGAGGACAGTCAACAGGTGGAGTTTCGAGCTGAGAGAGACATGGAGAGTCCTACTTTCGCTGTTTCGCAAAGATTCAGCAGTTTCGACGAGTTGAAAGAGGCCATAAAGCAGCATGCCTTTGTGGAAAAGCGCCCCATTCGCTTCAAGAAGAATGACTCGAGGAGGCTGCAAGCAGTATGTGCTGATCCATGTGATTGGTATATATGGGCCTCCAAGATGATTCTCAGAGATGCAGTACAGATCAAGAAGTGCAAGCTACAGCATTCTAGAGATTGCCGGAGGACATTTAAGGTGAAGTTTGCAACTGCCAAGTTTCTTGGAGATAAACTTGCTGGGAAGATGGCAGCAGACAAGAAGATGAGCAAGGGGCTACTCAAACAGATATGCAAGGAAGACTTTAAGGAAGATGTATTGGATTCGAAGGCATGGAGGATTCGAAGGGCTGCTCTTGAGAAGGTTAGGGGCAGTTTTATAGAGCAATTTCGAGGGCTATACCACTATGTCGAGGAATTGAGGAGGAGCAACCCAGGTTCTACAGTGATCATCGAGCAAAGAAATCATCACTTTGATCGGATGTATGTGTGTTTCCAGGCTTCAAAACTGGGTTTCAGGGCTGGTTGCAGGCATGTCTTGGTTATTGATGGCTGTTTTTTGAAGCATGAGTATGGAGGTCAACTCCTTTCAGCAGTGGGTATTGATGCAAATGATCAGTACTTCCCAGTAGCCTTTGCTCATGTACCTGTGGAGAATAAAGAGAATTGGGAGTGGTTCTTGGAGCTCATCGCTAGTGACTTGGAGGTTAGGGACAATCCCGGATGGACTTTCATGTCCGACAAACAAAAGGTATGCTTTCACTTTATTTATTCCTTGTTTTGTGCTTACAATTCTCGGCTGTCCAGAATTTGAATTGTGTGTTATTGGTGTTTTAGGGACTAGTGCCAGCTCTCGATGGACTCTTCCCATCCTGTGAGAAGAGGTATTGTGCAAGGCACTTGTGGACCAACTTCAAAGGGGCTTGTGGGGGGTCCCAAAACATGAAGAACCTGTTCTGGGCAGCAGTTAGAGCGAAAACGGTGCCTGAATTTCGCAACCAAATGCAAGCCCTATCAGAATACAACAAGGCAGCCTATGATTGGTTGATCGACAAGCCATTCTACCATTGGACAAGGTCACATTATCAAACCCTCTGCAACTCTAAGATTCATACGAGCAATTTGGTGGAGAGTTGGAACAATGTGATTATAGAAGAGAGGGATATGGGTCCAGTATGTATGTGGGAGGGGATTAGAAGAAACTTGATGGTGTTATATGCCCACAGAAGGAAAATGGTGGAGAGCTGGACATCTATGTTCACTGAGAAGGTTGAGAAGGAGCTAGATGAGACTACTGAAGAAGCACTGAAGTGGTCAGCAGAAAGTAATGGGAACGGACAATTTGAGGTGAGGTGGCACAACCACCAAGTTGTGGTCAATCTGAAGAAGAAGACATGTACATGTAGACATTGGGAGTTGACCGGCATTCCGTGCATATGCTATCACTGCAATCAGGAAGGCAAAGCTTCTGATCAAGGACCATGTTGCTGATTGCTACCTGCGGGAAACAGCGGCGAAGATATATGAATTCTCCATTTCACCTATTAATGGCAAGGAGTATTGGCCAATTTCTGAGTTGGGGGATTGTGGAGTCCCTCCAGTTGCAAACTCGAAAAAGAGGGGCAGACCAAAGAAGCAGAGAAGAAATGGACTTGATGAGGATGAGAAGGGGAAGAAAAAACAGAAGAAGGGTGAAAGGGAATCATCAAAGCCGGAAGGAAGGAAGTACGCGTGCACCACATGTGGGGTAGTTGGGCATACCAAACTGTTCCATGATGAAGAAAGGAAGAAACAGGTGGAGGAAAGGAGACAGGCTAAGGAACACGCTAAGGAAGAAGCTAAAAGGGCGAAACAGCTCGAAAGAGCTGAAAAAAATAGATTGGCAGCCATACAGAAGCAGCAACAGAGGGCTGCAAAAGCAGCAGCAAAAGCGCCACTGAGTCAGCCCAACACTGTCCAGCTCATGCCAGATGTAAGCATTTATTCAATTTTACAGTTTTGCTTTATAATCAAGTCCTACTATCTTCTAATGTTGTTTTAACTTCACAGGGAACTACTAGGAGGCCACGGATTGAGGCATCACTGCAGCCCACACAAGGATGTGGAGGATCGCAAAATGTAAGCCAAGTGACTCAAGAGCACGAGTGAAGATTAGATGAAGTTTAGGTCCAAATGATAATTACCATTTTGAAGCCTCCAATTGGCTAGT